CCGGAGTGAGAGCAATAATTCTAGGGCCAGTATTTTGGGGTATCTCTAAATTGATGACCTGTGGGGGCTTTTAAAGCGTCTTCTATGGACTTTTTGGGGTACTGGGGTTTTTCGCCGTTTTACGGATGCACGCAATTTGTAACCTGGGCATGTTGGGTATCGTTTTACTCGTTGTAACCTCATCTTTTATATTTCATTAAAAAAATGGGTATTTTGTTGTGTTTTGGGGCATTTAATTAAATTTTTCACTAAATATTGGGGTTTAATAAGGAGTTGCGCTAATATTGCGCAACATAAAAATTTGCAACTACCACCATTTTATTCTATAGGGTCTTGGCATTCAGAAAATATATAATGTTGGGGGGTTTTAAGTAATTTTCAGGCCTCAGGCCTGAAGGGGTTAAAATGTGTCTAAAGCCAAGAGTTTAAAAAAAATATATATTTTTAGCTTGAGAGTTTTTAAACCCAATATGGGTTTCCTCCAGGTACTCCCACAATCCAAAGACATGCTGCTAGGTTAATTGGCTCCTGTCTGAATTGGCTCTAGTATGTGTATGTATACATGTGAGATGGGGACCTTAGGTTTAAGCTTCATGAGGGTAGGGACTAATGTTAAATTAGAGTATGTAAAAGTGCTGTGCAAATTGACGGCACCCTATACTTTAAATACCTGTAATAAATAAACCCCACCCTTCCCCTTGCCATTCCTCAGTGTCCTGTAATTCTGGAGGTGCCCCTGTGTATTCTTTTAAATGTTTTTTTTTTTCTTTACTTTTCTTTTTTGTCTTGGCTCTAGCACTGGGCAGTTGTTTGTTTCTATAGCTGCTGGGAGTCTGTTAAAAAAAGGAAAAAAATAAAGTGGGATTGGGTTTTAACAAGTTTGTTATTTTTAACAACATTATATATAATTATAAAAAAGGGATTCCTTTTAATTAGGAATAATTAACTGTATTAGTACTTAATCGGTGGGTGAAAAAAGGAAACTGTGAAAGGCTGGCTTTATAAATGTAGAATATAAATTTGCCACTTAAGATTTTTGTTCGGCTTTTTGCAAATAACATTTTTAGATTAGTGGTTTTATAATGGGAAGTGGCAATTTTTATAACCGTTTCCTTCTCCCCCTGCTGATTGTCTTGAAAAAGAAATGTTAAATAGTCTCCTCATGCTGTGGGGAGGATGTCTGCTAAGCAGCAGAGAATAGGAGCCTTCTAAACACAGATGAGTGCATAGCACTGATTGTCACATTGCAGATTTTAATTTACTAGAATTCTGTAGGCTGGAAAAACAAAACAAAAAACGTAGTGTAAGAAGGAACATGGTCTTTGCTTACAAGTCTACATTTTAAGATGAGCAGGTTCATTTCGAGAAAGGTTAATGTACATGGTTGCACTTGCTTGTACATATGTTGTATTGTGAATTACACTTGACGGACAGAAAAGGCAGTATGCATCAGTTGTAAAACCTTATATTAATTAGCTGAGGATTCCACCTCCAAAAGAGCAACATTTGATTTTGTTTTGATCTTTTTTTTTGAACACTTGACACTAAACTCCGAAATTAAATCTTAAAAATGCATTCATGTACCCTATTAACTAAACGTGAGCTTGTAGTCCATCAGGGAGGGAACTTGCATCCGTGGCTACTATACAACAAATACAGGGACCATGGGGAACAAAAGTAGCCACCCTCCAGAAGGAAGGACAGTGTCAGCACCAATTCACAGATGATTTGAGGATCTACAGCCAAGTGATACACAAATAAGATACATTTTTGTTAACAGTTTAGGCACTTGAATGCTTTTTTAAGGTATAACTCCTGAGTTTAGTGTCACTTTAATGGCGTTCATATTCTGGTGGTAAAGTTAGGTTGCATTTTACTGTATCTTTAGAGCCCAATTCCAGCTGAAACTTGGAGTTTGGAAATTTTTAAATAGTTTTAAACTATAAAGAAAAAAAAACACTTAACTTGTTTGCCTTTAAAGGAGAACTATGAGGTGAGTGATTTTAACTCAACCTCATAGTTCGAGCCGACGTGTGACAATAAAACTGTCACATGTCGGCTCAATATATTGGGAAGTGAGCGAACACATACTGTTGCCTGCTCACTTCTCGATCCTGTCCCTGCAGAGAGCCGTGACTGTCACTCCCTGCAGGGATTCCCCCTCCCCCCCTCCGATCCTCCAGCGCTTACTGGAGGAACGAACGGGGGAGGGGCGGGTACAGCTGGCTCTGCCTCTAGATAGGCAGAGCCAGCTGTCAATCACGCAGTTGGGTGGATCTCGATAGTAATGTCGGGATCTGTCCCGGCTGTAGCGGTCTCAGTATACCGCAAGCTGTAGCTCGCGTTATACTGAGCTTTGGGTCATGGGAGGACGCTAGTATATGTCCTCCCATGACCCTGAGGAGAACTATGGGGAAAAACACTTACCCCATAGTTCTCCTTTAAAGCCTGTCTCAGGCCGATCTCCAAAAAACTGCAGGGAAGCCTGCATTAGACTGAGGACACCAAGAGACATTCCACCAGCAAGAGCACAAGGTAGAGCGGTGAGCACTGATGGTGGCAGGTGGGTTTATTCCTGTCCCCTAGGCAAAGGTAGTTTTTTTGGTTAACCTCGAGATTGGCTTTATCCCATATTTGCTATGTTGTTTCATAGCAATTAATACATTTCAGTTGATTTGTTGAATAGTTTTACTGTGCTTTCTCTAATATCATATAATTGTGTGTTCTCTTCACTGCAGGTCAGTCGGAGGATAAATCTGAAATTAGGACAACTGGTAAGTGTCTTTATTAGTCCATCAAAATCAAACTGACAATATAATGAAGCAAAGCATGTCCTGTGGGTATCTTCACCGATGGTTGCTTGTCACACTTATAAAGCAGATGAGAGATAATGGAGAAAGAAGTTTTGACAAGGCAAGTGTAGGTTTACAGGGGTTACGTCAGTGTTAGCTTTACTTTGGCCTAACCCTCTTTCGTGAAGTATTGGGATTGCTATTACCGAGCACTTTTTGAAAATGCCTGTTGAACTTTGTATTTTGACATACATTACATCAGGCAGGTCATTTACTTTGAATTGATCATTAATAAACCTCAAAACACAAAACAAAAAATGCATCTGCACTATTTTTGGCCGATGCAGCTCACCCCCAGTATACTTTTGCTTTCACATCTTTTGCTTTGTGGCGCATAGTGTAGATATGTTGGGTCAAGCTGTAAACGTATTTTGGGCTTCAAAATGAATGGCGACCCACATAGCAAGTGGATCGACATGTTAAGAAGTACATAATTGTGATTCCCGATTTATTTTAGATTAAGGTTAAAAGTTTAATGGTGTTTGCTTACCCCTTTATGATCAGAGATACTGTCTAAGTTGTCATGGTGATCACCTGGAACCACACTGATTGGTTACTGACTGTGAGTGGGTAACAGTGACAGCCTGGTTCAATAGCTATCAGCATGTTAGTTGTCAATGTTTGTGGTCATGGGCATACGGGGAAGACACTTTTTTTTTTTTTAACCTTGTTCTTGGTTCCAAAAGTACTGAATACCAGTATTCCAAAACATTAAATCCAGAGATGTAAGCAGTTAAAATTAAAATGCATATTCCAACTATATTTGTGTAAGTTGCTTCTTGAGCCTTACTATGGGTCAGTTGTCATAAGTGGCCTCAGTGACTACAAGACTACTGCTAGAAATAAAGATTTGTTTGGTTCTTTTATGCTAATGTTTGCCTTTAAACATTACTGTGCCCATTTTATGTGCTCCCTTTCTGCTTACAATAGTTATAAAACTTAGTATTTAAACTATATGCTGAGTAATGTTATCTTTAGTCATTTTACTTTTGGGTGTAGAAGGTTTACTTCATTTATATTCTGACAAAACATCTTGATCACAGCTGTCTTGTTTTTTGTCGCCAACATTGGGGGCTTGTTGCCTGGCCTTGGCTTCATCATCTTGCCCATTCAACAAACCAACTTGCTAAAACAAAGCACATGGATATGCACTGTGTTTTTTTTTCTTTTCATGCTTAACTGTCACTACACAGTTGGAAGAACCGTAGACCTGTGACATATAAAGAATTGCCAAGGGTACTGCCTGTAAGAGTGCTGCTATTATTTTTCTAATGCAGTCCAGAAAAGTAATATAAATACTGTATTTGAATATTTTTAAATATGCAGATTTCATTAAATGAATGCCTGGTAAACAAGCCAATGCAGCTATTTGTTTAGGCACGTCATGTTAATGGTATAGCAACTGTCTCCAAGGTTTGCTCCTGCATTGTAACCCGGTCAAATTCGACTCTGGTTGAGACTACAAATACCTGTGCTGATGCATGCTGTGGGGGATTGGCCTCAGGAAGCTAGTCTAGAGTAGTGTGGTACAGGACGCTTAGGACTTGTTCACAGTAGATGCTGTGACTTGCTTTCTTCTGCACAAGGACAATGCAGGTCACCACTAGGGCACATAGAAAAATATTTATTTATTACTAGTATTTATATAGTGCCGACAATTTACATAGTTGCACATTCACATCAGTCCCTGCCCTCAATGAGCTTACAATCAAAGTTCCCTATCTCACATACATACCGTCATACATACATACATACAAGGGCCAATTTAGACAGGAACCAGTTAACCTTCCAGCATGTCTTTGGAGTGTGGGAGAAAACCGGAGTACCTAGAGGAAACCCACGCAAGCACAGGGAAAACATGAAAACTCTTGTTTTCTAGGCGCCCTATTCACACAATAGTGCCGTATTGAGGTGGGTTGCAGTACTTTGCGTAAAAATGCGGACATGCTTCATTTTTCAGTAATGCACCAGAGTTTACCTAAAGTCACTATTCGTCACCACACCGCAACTCGGCTGCGGTGCATAGAAGTCATTGAATTGTCGATAAAGGTAAAAAATGGACACAATGGATTCCACATGCTGTAACAGGCCTCTGTAGTGTTTGGGCTAGTGTGAACAAACTATAAAGGGAGTGCATTTAGACAGAAAGTAAAAACTTGGGGAGGTCAGCAGCACTGAGATGCAAAGTAAATGTCATCCACTTAGGGTCTATATCTATTTTGTAGATGACTTTAATCTCTTAACCTACTGTAGGTTTATATCCTGTTTTAGCTTGAATGTATCCATAGCAAAACTTTTCTTTTTTTGATAGAGTGGGGAAAGGTTAAACTACAGGTTTTACTGCTATGCTGGACTCAGGGATACTGTAGTTCCTGTCACTGTCTGCTCCGTGGACAACTTTTTATCTGACAGGAAATGAGGGGAAAATCTGTGGCCGGCAAAATGGGCAACAATTAATTAGCACAAATGTATCTTTGTGTATCACTCAGCTGTAGATCCTCAAATCATCTCCGAATTGATGCTGACACTGTACTTCCTTCTGGGTGGTGGCTACTTTTGTTCCCCATGGTCTCTGTGTGTGTTGTAAAGTAGCCGCCACTCCAAGCTCACTCCGGCAATGGACTACAATCTTTTTTGATTGAAAAATATACTTTATTAATGCAATAAAATATACAAAAACAAGCTATACAATCGGGGTACATTCAACCTCGTACTGCGACGCAGCGCATAAACACCACATAGCAATACATCTCAATCGCACAATAAATTACATTCGCGCTGCGGCGAGATGCCTGACGTGGAGCGCAAGACAAGAGTCCTGAGCCCTCCACGTCATTCATGACACCGCTTTACCCCGTACTGAGCTCCACATCAATACCTTAAACTTCAATAAACCTCAATAAACCTTGCGGTACAATGTCTGATGTGCGGAACTCGAGGTTCCTCGCATCCTACATGGCACCGCGACAACACATCAAGCATAAAACTTTAACCTACAACAAAGCAACAGGTGTGATGGGGGAGAGGGAAGAGGGGGTAAGGGAGGGGAAAGAGTTCACAGGCCCGAAGCTTTATTGAAGGACAAGAGACACAAAAAG